AGAGAGAGAGAGAGAGAGATTTACTTAAAGGAAATGGCTCATGCAATTGTGGGGCTGGCAAGTCCCAAATCTGTGGGTCAGGCGGTAGGCTGGAGGCCTCTGCTGGCTCAGGTGGTTGCAAGGATTAAGGAACCCAAAATCTGTGAGTCAGGCAGCAGATAAGATGTCTGCAGGTTTATATCCCAAGAACCAGAGGTCGGGCAACAAGAAGAGTGCAGGGTCAAGAAAGAGAACAAGCCTTGCCAGAGCATCCATTTATATACTGGAGGCAGGCCACGATCGCAAGGTAACTCCCTTTTCAGTTGATTGGCTGCTCGCATCAGATCACAAAATGGAAGATGGTTACATAGTGTCTGCCAAGCCACTGAGAATCATAGCCTAGCCAAACTGACACATAACATTAACCATCACGTGCACTTAGAACAATATTGCTCCCCCCAAATTAATCTGTTCATTCCATTTTAAACAAAGTCCAATTATCTACAATTTGCTTTTCAAAAACGTGATCAATGTGATTTTCCTGCAATAGCCCTAGAAGTTTTTAAAATTTTTCTTTTCTATACAGCTCTGCTCTGGTTTATTTTATTTTCAAGTACCTGGAAATTGAAATGCTATAAACAAGTTGGTGAATCTCCCAGAGAATACAGAAGTCATCACATTAAAAAATAAAAGTTTAATGTTCAGAACCATGTTCTCATTTTGTCAGAATCACTTATTTATCATCCTTATGAAAAAATCCCCACAGAAAAATTAAGAACTTGTTTTCTAAGGTGGTAAATTTTCCCTTTTGAGTCTCAGAAATTATTTATGGGTTAATTGTAACCAGTGAAATCTAGGCATAGAAAATGTTTTATAATAGAAGTAGACTTTCGTATTGATTATACACCTGGTATCATTCCCCACTCATGTTTCATATTGATGTGTAGGAGAATTCAGCACTGATCAGGACTTCTCTTGGGTCTGTTTTGGGCAATACTAATTCAAATATTAATAATTTTCTATTTTTTTTTTCACTATTTACAGGAAATAGTAATAGAAAAAGTATGACTTTTTATGATAATGCCTGAAGGATAAAACCTCAGTAAATTTTTGTAGCATCTCAGGACTATTTGAAACATTTTTTGAAATTATCTTATTAATCTTCCAGGTATAAAATGAATCTACTCAGTATGATGCAAAAGTTAAATTTTTTTTATTTGGAATTTAGTAGAACTGCTAAGGATTGAGGAGAATATTTTAAAGACTTTATATTTCCCCTAAGTGCTATAGGAAGCCACAGAGATTTTTACCAGGTGTATTTGGGTCTGTGTATGGGCTCAATGGTTAAGTGCTTGGCTGTTAACCGAAAGGTTGGTGGTTTGAATCCACCCAGTGGCTTTGTGGGAGAAAGACCTGGTGATCTACTTGCATAAAGATTACAGCCAAGAAAACCCTATGGGGCAATTCTACTCTGTCACATGCGGTCACTATGAATCGGAATCAACTAGGTGGCACACAACAACAACAAAATGTGTATCGTGTGCGTGCGGTGTAATCGTGTTTGTATTTTGTGAAGGCCACTGACTGCTTCGTGTACAATAGGATAAAGGGAGCAGGTGCGGCTGTGTGGGGATACTGAAGTAGCTCAGGTGAATGAAATGGTAGAAGAAAAAGTATGGACATATTGGAGACATAAATTTCAGAAACTTTTCAATAGTCTTTGGCTAAAAGCAATAAAGTATTGACTTGGAAAATGAAAGAGTTTTATTCTATGACTTTTATGACCCCTTTATGGTCTGACCTTCAGGGTATTTCATCCAACAAGTCAAACAGTCATATGGTTATAATAACTACAACCCTTGCCACACGGTCTTGTGCCTAAATATTATCGGAATCCAGAGAATATTTATTGAGTTTGAATAACACTCATTCTGTGGTCATGCTTTGTGGGGCTGGTGCAAATTTCAGTTTGAATGGTCAGAAGGAGAAGGTCAGGGTTCTGTTCTTAGGCTCTTCTCAAACATCATGGGGTGGTGTAATGAACAAGGGTTCGGGAGTCAGATTCTAGGTTCTAATTTCTACTCTTCACTAGCTGTTGACCTTGGACAACATGCTTAATTTCCCTGAGCATTATTTGTAAATTGAGCCAAGTAATAGCTTCCTTTCAGGGCTGTTGTAGGTAAAAGTGGTAACCCATGTAGAAGACAGGGAGCCCTGGTGGCGCAGTGGTTAAGAGCTCGGCTGCTAACCAAAAGATCGGCAGTTCGAATCCAACAACTGCTCCTTGGAAATCCCATGGGGCAGTTCCACCCTGTCCTATAGAGATGCTACGAATTAGAATCAACTTGATGGCAACAGGTTGGGTTTTTTTTGGTATGTAGAATATATAGAACAGCACTGGGCACACAGTGGCTCCGCTTTTTTTTTTTTTTTTGGTGCTTTAAGTGAAAGTTTACAATTGAAGTCAGTTTGTCAAACAAAAATTTATATACACATTGCTGTGTGACCCTAGTTGCTTTCCCTATAGTGTGACAGCACACTCTTCCTTTCCACCTCAGATTTCTCATGTCCATTCAACCAGCTCCTGACCCTCTCTGCCTTCTCATCTCCTGACCCTCTCTGCCTTCTCATTTCACCTCCGGACAGGAACTGCCCATTTAGTCTCATGTATCTACTTGAGCTAAAAAGCATACTCCTTATGAGTATCACTTTATGTCCCGTAGTCCAGCCTCATCTTTGTCTGAAGAGCTGGCTTTGGGAATGGTTTCAGCTCTGGGCCAACAGAGAGTCCAGGGACCATGTCTTCTGGGGTTCCTCCAGTCTCAGTCAAACCATTAAGTCTGGTCTTTTTACTAGAATTTGAGCTCTGCTCCACACTTTTCTCCTGCTCCATCAGGGACTCTCTGTTGTGTTCTCTGTTAGGGTGGTCATTGGTGGTAGCCAGGCACCATCCAGTTCTTCTGGTCTCAGGCTGATGGAGTCTCTGGTTTATGTGACCCTTTCTATCTCTTGGGCTAATATTTTCCTTGTATCTTTGGTGTTCTTCATTCTCCTTGACTCCAGGTGAGTTGGGACAAATTGATGCATCTTAGATGGCCACTCACTAGCTTTTAAGACCCCAGACACACGATGGCTCCTCTTAAAGAGTACTTTGATAGTCTACCCAGATTATTTGGACCAGGACTTGGGTTTGCAGGATACAGACAGAGTTAAACCCAAAGTAATATTACTATTTTATATTCTGCCTGAAACTCAAAGATGAATTTTTATAGTTATCATGAAGATGCTCAGGATAATAAGATCATTTATGTTCCTTCAAGAGTGAAGGTTTCATATCTGCCTTGCTTTATTAATGAAGATAACTTTTTCTGTGACTATTTTTGGATGTGTTCAAAACAAGACAGTTTTATATTAACTAATAAAATTTTCTCCCTCTCTCACATCAATAAGTGGGCAGGAGTTAAGTCTCTAGGCAAATTGTTTTCACATATCCAGTGTGAGCCTGAAAAGGTATCACAATATACCCTTCTAGACACAGGAGTGTTCTCTCCAAAGACCTTGGACAAAATTCTGCTCACCTTTAGCCTCTGTTAGAGTTGGAACTGAGTGTTATTCCTGTTCAATGGCCCACTTCACCCACCAAAACCAACAAATGAGGCAATGTTTCATAAGTTTAATATATTAGGTAGAA